ATAAATGCTAGGAAGGGCTTCCCCTCCACCCACCCCCACTATCTGATGCTCTCACCACTGCATATCACAGATCCCTCTTGGTTTCCTTCCTAGCATTTATCTCACTCTGTACGTAATGAGTTTTACTTTGTCACTAAGGTATGGCATACATACAGTGAAGCCCATAAAATGTACTAATCAGAAGTACATAGCTCAATAAATTTTTGAACATTGGTAAAAAAACCCTGTAGCTACCAACCAGGTCAAGACAAAGAACATTTACAGCATCCCAGAAAGTTCCTTCATGCCCTTCTCAACTTAATACAGAGAGCCACTAATCTAATGTCTATCTCTAGCAGTCTGTAGATATTTATTTCATTGTTCCCCTGTTAATGTTGTTTCTCACACTAGAATGTAAATTTCCCAAAAGAGGGATCTTGTCTGTCTAGGTTTCCATTCTAAGTCCAGCATCTAGCTCAGTTCTGACATATAACAGATGCTTAGTACCTTTTTGTGTCAAACTCCTTCTTGTCCTTAGACTCAATAGTCATACTCCAGTGAATCACCAAATTTGGCAAAATCCATATTTAAGAAATGGGTGTTTGTGTGCTTTGTGTGTTTGCGTGTTTACAGTGTCAGCGAACCAATGAAGAACTGCTCTTTGCTCACTCCAGCAGAAATCCCTGGTTGGTAAAACTTTTAACAACAAGAAAGAAGTAACTCACTTTCTTCTTTCTGTTCCTGAACAAAATTCCTAAAATAGTTGCAACAAAAGCTACGGAGGAGGTGCTAAACACCAAAGTAAAATACAGTATTTTCTTCTGACTATGTAATACTTTAGCCAAGTCCCCAGTTATATTTCCAGTGGGGAAAAAAAATCTTTAAAGTGCAGAAGAATCTGGCTCCTGTAGGCTGAAATAATGGAATAGGTTAGCAAATAATAAAGACAGCTGCAAAATGCAATATAGTTGTTGCGATTTGATGACGATGCTTTTCCCCTTTGTTGCAATGCAGACATGATTGATTATGAGAAGTTTTATGCAGCAGTGCAGGCCCTCTTTGGTCCGGAGGTGAAGAACCAAGACGTGAAATGCTTCTACAGGAAACTCTGCAACAACCCTGACGCGCCTACAGACTGGTGTGAGGTAGTCGCTGTTCATGTATTATTTTTCTTTGTTTAGAATAAATAATTAATTCAAAGTGTTACTCCCACAGAGGATGAACGCGCGTGATGGTAGGTTTAAATGCCTACACCAGTACAGAGGTGACCACTGCCCATAACGGAAAGTGGGTAAACCAGATGGACGGTTAACTGTATCATTAATGAGTAACCCTTAAATATTTCTAGACCAAGTTGCCCATTGGAAGAACTATACATGCTATTAACAACCAAGATGTTAATGGTTTTCTTTACATTCTAAATGAAATATTCCTTTTCAGTGGTGTCAATGTATATAAATTCCAGTGTATCCAAATTCTGGATGTAAGAGAAGAAAAGGTTATGGTTGGCTGCCTCTTCCATTTCCTGAGTCCTTTTGTGACTGGCACAGTGATGACTCCTAAGATATCATCCTGGTGTTCTTGGGACAACTCGAGAAGCATGTCTGCTGGTTAAGTGGACTATGGAAATGGGGAGAAAGTGCCTCTGATCCTCATTTAAACTCACAGAAGATGACACTCTGTAGCTTTATTTATAAACTAGATTCTAATTCGAAAAGGATTTGCAGTAGCTTACAATTTTAAAAATTGCACAGTGCATGCATAGTAATTAAAATGATTTTTAAAATCATCTGGCTCTCTCTTAAAATTCAGGAGTACAGTAGATAAGAGAAAAAGCAGGGATTTAAGAAATTTGACTATAACATTCATTTAGTAAGTTGGTAGATATGTATAAATAGAACTTTGAACCCAAGACAGAATTCAAAGACAATAAACATGCAACAATCAATAACTTTCACAAACAACAATCAATAACTCCCCCTTCCCATACACATCACTAATAGGAAAAAAAAAAAGTTTCCATTCACAAGAGCGATAAATAGCAAAAAATATGGGATAAATCTTTTAAGGAACATGCAAGACTATGACATTGGACTGAAGGACAACACTCAACAAAGAGAAGATCTGGAAAATTACCGAGACTCAATTTTGTAAAGATCCCAACTGTCTCCAAATTCACTTAAAAATTTAATAGAATTTCAATAAAACAGATTTTTAGAATTAATGCAGTTATAACTAATAGAGATACTCCAAAACATCAGTAATTGAATTTCAGTACATCCTATGTCTTTTCGATAATTCTTACGAATATTTTTGGTTGCCTGTAGAAATTGAAAACCATTCTCACGAACTTCTGGTGAGTTCCCACAAAGCCTTGGACACCTACAGAGCACCATGAGGATTCTACTGTGGAGCATATTTCTAAAGCATGTTCATTTTTGCAAGACGTGAAAATTAAAACTATGATTTTCACTTAGATCTTTGCTTGACTGTAACATTACAAGTGAAAAATATGAAAGCACAATATATATGAAAACATATAACCCAGATGAAGATAGAAGTGGAAAGGGGCTCCTGGAGTACCAGGTTCATGCATCAAAGATAATGGATTCTGGCCCGGTAGGAGTGGCTCAGTTTGTTGAGCGTTGTCCTGTGTTCCGGAAGGTTGCCGGTTCAATTACCGATAAGGGCACATACTGGGTTTCAGGTTCGATCCCCAGTTGGGGCACCTACAGAAGGCAACCAATCAATGTTTCTCTCTCTCAACAGTGTTTCTCTCTGTCTCTGTCTCTCTCTCTCCCTCCCCCTCTCTAAGCATGTGCTTGGGTGAAAATTAAAAAAAAACCCACCCAAAATATAATGAATTCTGATTGTTATGCTGACTACTTTTTCACGTCCTGTTCTTTCCTTCTTTCTTTCATGACATTATCCTGTTACATTTCTTGGGTTCCTGTAAATCATATGTGAGTTTCATAGAAAAACTGAGGCTGAATGTCGGACACCCTGTATGTATTTGAAGAATAACTTGAAGTTTGAAAAACTGGTGCAGAAAGGTCCCTCTTTTCCTGTCCTCCTGTTACTTTCCTCACAAACTATCTGTGCCGATGCTCCTAAGAGGCATTTCTATTTCAAGTCGTGTGACCTAACCTTTCTGGGCTTCACATCCGTCATCAGTAAAGTGGAAATTCAGTGCTGGAAGACTAATTTCATCCCAGGATGAATTACCTGCTTTTTTTACCAGCCAACAGTAATCTTATAAGGTAGTAAGAACTAGGTTTACTCTTTCAAAGTCAGGCACAAAGGTACAACCTGATTCTGAATATAAATCTCTTTATTGTAGCAATGCCCCAAAAAGGTGAACTCTCTTTTTCTAGGTTTTGGTACAAATGATCTTGGGAAAATTGACATCTGTAAGATAATGAAACCATAAAACTCAACTAAAACATCATCTAGACCTGCCCCTTTAACTTATACTTAGAAAAATTAGATGCAAAGAGATCCAAAGAAGTGTGATTGTCTTAAATTTATAAAGCTAGTTAGCGAAAAATTCTGGTACAATTACAATATGCTTTTGCTACAATACCATGTTAGTCTGTGTTTCCAGTGGGCAAGTCATGAAAACACTCAAATTAATCCAGGGTAGGCCTCTTTGGCATCCAACACCATAAGGGATGCCTATAGCTGTATGCCCTCAAGGGTGAATTTCAAGGGAATTATAAATCTAAAACTATATCTGCTAACTTCAAAAATGTTAAAAGAGTGCTCCAGGGTAGGTTAAAATATAAGTTGCATACATGTTTGGTTTCTCTTCTATCTGCTTTTCATTTTCTCCAAATGTTCATCCAAAAAAAAAGTATAGTTTAAAAAAATGAATCACTTAAAGCATGGAGCCAGCCCTTTAAATAACACAGTTAAAAGAAAAAAATTAATACTCAAACGCATCATAAAATGCTCCAAGCATGTCACAAGTATAATTACTAGACTGAAATAAACTGTTGAAAGAGAAATTTGAGATCCTTAAGGTAATGTGATTAGCAGACAGTAGAACTGGAATTGGACCCAGGCCCAAGTAAAAAGCTCCAGATATTGCCTCATACAGGACAGCAGTCCTGGGTTTCTTCCCACATCTGTTCTGAACACTTATCAGATACCAAGTCACTATCTCCATAAAAATTACACTAAAATTACAAATTGAGTTGAATGACAGTCTATAAACTGCTTTTTGAAAATATAGGCACTATAGAAATATAGAGAGTGTTCTTTCCAATTAAGGACAACCCACCCGTGTGGTGTGGCATTCTCCTATCCTTGAGAAACATACATGTTCAGTAGCAGGGAAATAATCATCACTCCCATAGTCATTTCACATTATTTTCTGAAACGTATTATCTGAGGTTAAATTGCTGACTTTGGTCAATCTTTGGTTGTATTTGGCTCAAGTCATTTCAATTGTACTGAGTTGCATTTATAAAATGAAGATGTGACAGGCAGGAATTTAAAGGTTCACTCCTCCAAGATTCCTGTCTCTTGGATATTCAATCAAGCCCCAATGTAGATACTATTGTGAAGGGACTTTTGCAGATATAATTAAGGTCTAATCAGATGACCTTAAAAGTAGAAAGATTATTCTGGGTTATCTGGGTAGACCCAGTGTAATCATGAGTCCTAAAAATCAGAAGAGGAAGGGAGAAATAAGATTCCAAATGTGATGCGGATTTGCAACACCATTGCTGGTGCCCAGAGGTAGGGTCCATGTGTTAGGACTGAAGAGAGGCCTCTAGGAACTAAGAGTAGCCCCAGCTGGCAGCCAGCAAGAAAACACAGGACTCAGGCCAACAACCTGAATGAATTTGGAAGCAGTTCCCCGCCCCCCAGTCCTCAGTAAAGAACACGTCTGTACTGACATCTTGATTTTAGCCCAATGAGACCCATTTTGGACTTCTCGCCTACAGAACTGGTGAGCTAGTAAATGGGTGTTGTAAGCCACTGTGTTTGTGGTAATTTGTTTCAGTAGCAATTAAAAAACTAATACAGAGGGGAAAGTGTCAAAGTTCAAGACACCTATGTCTGCTGTTACAACCAACAAAAACCAAAGTGTAGCGATGAGAGGGATTCAAATTCAATAGCAGTGGAAGGAGGAACAACACTTGGAGAAGGAGGTTGGATAAACTCAAATGAAAGACCAAAGATTATTACCTGTGATTGCCATTGGAAGCTTTGTTGTATTTTTGTTTTTAAGACAGGAAAGATTTGAATATGCTAAAGGCAAAAGTCAGACAACTGAACATCTGTCTTAAGCTCTACAGTTTCTTAAATTCCAAAACTCCCCCTAAAAGGGATAAAACATCTTGCCCAGGAAGATCTGTGGAAAATGGATAGGAAAAGTCCTTTGAGAGTGGCCAAATTCAATGTCAAGAGTCTCAACTGGAACCCTGTCTGATGAAGGCTGATTTGATCTCCAACCAAGTGTGCTCTCCTAATAGAACTATCAGTCTGAGCAGGGACACCAGTCTGGTCCATTCCTCAGAAAGGAAAATCAGGGACAGCGCACTGTGTGTTGAATGTATTAAACTGCCTTCCCTTCGTATGCGGACCCTCTGATGTTTATAAAGCAAGGTGTTGACTGTTAATCCAAGACTTTAAATCCAACCAACACCCAATCTGTTACTTCGCGGTGGATTCTGAAATATGTTCATGTGTTGTTTGGGATTTTAGATCTTTGGATATTACTCCTCTGAAGACGACTCTCTTACTTCCCAGTTGGATGAAGAAAATTTGGTTTTCCTCGTGTCTAGAAAACAGCGTGTCATAATTTCAGGTGATATTGTTCATTTCCCTTCCAAATTGATATGGGTTTTAATATGTTCTCAAAAATGAATATTGGGAATATAACATTTCCATAGAGTCACTTTTCATTTTATTTACTTTGTGACAGTTTCATATGCGATATCAAAAGAAACTGTACCTGCAGTTGAGTTTGAAATATTGTCATTGCTCTGAAGGACACTAAATAGAGAATTTGGGGGAGGGGGATCACATTTTACTGAGGAGGAGCACATCTCAAGGTAAAGCTCTCTATAATGGCACCTCAGTAATGCAGGTTGCAGTACCGAATGGAATCACATTTTTTTTACAATGTTCTTAAAATTTAATTTTCAACTTTTCACTAATTAGAACTCCTTTTCACACAGTCATCCTCAGTTATCTCACGGAGGTTTAACCCTAGATGGGAAAATGTGCATTTGGGCCAAACACAGAGTGTGTTATCTCATTTGAGAAAGTCTCCAGTTTACATGTCAGTTATTTTTAAATTTGAGCCTGGTCCCCAGCAACTCCCACCCAGTCTTCCTTTCGAAAGCACCTGAACTTACTTCAGTACTTTGTGACCCAAGCCCACCTTGTCTTTGACCCTTCCTTAGCCCAATCAGAGGCCTCACCAGAGCCCACACTCTGGCCATGGGAACCCTTAGCATAGAAGAAAAACAAGGGGGCTGTCCCTGCTGCCACCACCACTGAGCTGGCCAGTGAACAGGGGACACATGTTGCTGGCATCCTAGGTTAGAACCTTGAAAATATCTTTCTAGATGGCAGTTGGGTTCTGTAGTTCATTTATTCACTCAACACACATGTTAACGTCTCCCATGTGAGCCAGGTAGCTCTCTAAGTGCTGGGGACACAGCAGAGAGCAAACAATCATAAATCCCTGACATCATGAAATTTGCATTCCAATGGGGAGAGATAGACAATGAAAAACATCAAAGAAGTAATATGTAATAGGTCAGACGGTACGAAGTGGGACAGAAAAAAAATTAAGTAAGCAGGCTGGGGGAGAAGAAGTTGGTTTGGAGATGGGAACACAGTGTAGGGGTTTTAAGTGGGTGGTCAGGGAAGACCACGCTGGGCAAGTGATAAAGACCTGGAGTTAATGAGAAAGCAAAACATACGCTTCAGGTAGGAGTAGAAGAGGGGGAGACACCAGAGAGTGTGTGGCCAAGCTAAAGACTTCTGAGAAGCTACAAGAGGGCTGCAGATACGGGGCAGGGGGTGGGGGGGGGCAGGATCTGAGTTATACTTTCAATGTTTATTCTGGCTTCTGTGTTGAAAATAGTCTATAATGGGGAAGGCCCCGAAGCAGGGAGATTTGGCAGTGTCTTGACATAGGAGTATGTTCTCAGCCTTTTTTCCATTATTGATCCCCTAAGGAGCCTTTTAGACATTTTTCCTATGGGCCCCTCTCGCCCCAAACTCCCTCCCAGCGCCCTCCCCCCACCCGACAGCACTGAGTATCTGATTTTGTGCTCTATGTATATCTATGCACCGTACACAAAAATAGTGAGACTCATTCACACCCCCCCAAGCACCAATTGGCACCTTCTTGGAGGCAGTATTTTCTCAGTTCAGAAAGAGTTGGTGGGGTTTTTTTTTCTTTTTTAACAAACCTAACAAGTGACTCTTAGGATCTTTGCTGCTGGGAGTTGAACTGAATATTATGCTGTTGACAGGAAGTAGGAGACGGGATGTGATTAAATGCATTGTCAAGATCCCGCACTTGGATTTACTAATAGCAGCTTCTCAGAGAGGATTAATAACAGTCTTTAATAACCAGGTAATTTGAAATCTTGGACTCCTCCTGCCCTTCC